TAGTCCGGGCTGCAGCGACCCCTGGCGGCTGCTCCGGGCGGCGCCCAAGAAACAGCTGGGCTCAGCTTTTAGCCTGGTCGCAAGGTGTGAAGGCAAACGGAATTGGTGTCGCAGCCATGAAGAAAATTATCTTTCAGGCCCTGGCCCAGCGGTTTCCTTCTCTAGGAAGTTCTCCTCGATTGGATCAGGCGCCTCTCTGGGCTCCTGAGGGCCTGTCTGTGCTCCGGGTCCCTCTGCCTTGCTCCTACCCCACCCCACTCCATCCCCAGACCCCTGCCTGTGCCGTCCAGCCCCATCCTGGGCCCCGCTGGCCTGTCACTGTCTGTAATGGCTTCGGGCTTCCCGCCTCCGCACAGGCAGCCCTCCCAGTGCAGGGCCCATGGCCGTCATCGTGGTCACCACTCTGGCCCATGTTGCCTAGAGCCAGTCACCGAGTGAGGCTCGGAGGCCCTCACCTCCGAAGTAGACAGCATCCCCGGGATATTACCCCCTTACACACATTTTATTTTTTTGTTTGTTTAACAGCCTTATTAAGGTATACTCTACTTATCATAAAACCCATTTTAAGTGACAACATTTTGGGACGATTTCGCAGCTGAGCAGCTGTCACCACATTTCAACTTTAGAACATTAACGTCATGCTATAAAGATGTCCACCCCCAGCCTCAGGCAAGCGCGGATCTACTTTCTATTACAGGCAGATTCTTTTCATCTTAGAAGCATTCGCAAATGCTTCGTATCAGTTGTTGCTGCGTGGAGCCTGCATAGACCCACGCAAACTCTGCCCGGAGGGAATTCAGGTTCCTGTTGGGGCAACAACTACCGGGAAACACGGTGTCCACCCGTTCAAGCAGTATTTGGGGCCAGGGATTTAGCTCAGTGGTACTGCGCCTGCTTCTCAAGCCCAAGGTCCTGAATTCGATCCCCAGTACTTATTTAGTACTTAATTAAGTATTTATAGAGCATCTACCATCTGTCAGGCAGTGCTCCAGGACCCAACACTACAACAGTGGAGTGACGAGAAAAAAAAAAAAAAAATCTCTGCTCGGCTGATCTCAGCTGGAACTGATGTTCCAGTGAGAGGATAAACAGATGTGTAATATGGTGGTTGCTTGGGCTAAGTACTGTGTTTGTTTGTTTGTTTGTTTGTTTGTTTTATTTTGTGTTTTGAGACAGAGTCTTGGTTTGTAGTTCAGGCTGGCCTTGAACTTGTGGAAATTCTCCTGCCTCTGCCTCCCGAGTGCTGGGGTTATAGGCGTGTGCCACCACACCCATCTGGGCTGTGTTGTGAAGACCACTGATGCAGAGAAAGGAGATGGAGTGATGGGTGAAGGTTTAGGAAGGATGGCCAGGGAGCGCCTCCCTGAGAAGACAACATTTAGTCAGACTTGATTGAAGTGAGGGGTCATGGCCATGTTTGGGGAACAGTGTCCTGGCAAGGGAGGCCACCAGTGTAAAGACCCTGAGGTGGGAACAAGCCATGGGTCCAGGGCTGCAGGGGCAAGGAGGGCATGCAGAGGGGAGGCGGAGTATGGTGGGCCACATCCATTCAGCTTTGGAAGCCATGGTAGGCACTTCTCTTCTTGTCTACAAATCATGAGGAGCCATTGCGGGGTTTTCAGTGAGGAGACGTGAACTGATTTGTTGCTGAGTGTCATGGTTTGTATCTGGATGTACCCCCAAAGCTTGATGAGCTCAGACGCTGGGGCGTCTGCAAGGGGAATGGATTATTCAGGTGTGACAGTCGAGGTAGGGTGTGGTGAGAGGAAACAGAGCACTGAGGCTATGACCCAGAAGGGGCTATTTCCTTTCCTGGCCCCTCCCTGGAGACTCTCCACTTCCTGTCTGCCATGCGGTGAGCAGCCATGCCTCCGCCAGGCCCCTGTGCCGTGCCGTCCTGCCTTGGAGCTAGCTGGCTGTGGGCTGGAACATGAACCGGAGAAACTTCTTCTTTAAGTTGTGGGCGTCGGGTATTGTGTCTCAGTGACCAGGAAGGTGACTAAGACGAGGAGATTTGCACCAGTTGCCAGGAGGAGAACAGATTATAGGATGGCCAGCAGGGATCCTGTGAGGGTGCTGTAGGGGGTACCCAGGTGGGAGAGGATGATAACTCAGAGCAGAGCAGGAGAGACAGGGCGAGGAGGGGCCTGAGCTGGGCAGTGGTTAGGAGGTGCTGAAGTACCAAGTCGAGGACATTGGTGGCACAATCGGGGGCATTAATGAAGCACTCGCTAATTACAGTTTCTGGGTATGATAATGGTATTGTGGAAATATAGGATAATGCTCTTGTACTTGCCAAAAGTCTGCTGCAATGACTGGGGTGAAATGTCACAAAATAACTGCACACAGTTGTCAAAATGTATCTCTCTGTTTCTCTCCGGCTATCTGTACATATAGCTAGAGAGAGAGGCGAAGAGAGATCCCTTTGAGAACTGCTTATAGATAGCAGTGTTGTAGCTTGTATCCCAAGTAGACGTCTGTGTAGTTTACAGACATCTATGCTTTATAGATAAGAATCAGTAGGTATAGGGAAAGAGAAACACATGGAAAATTGTTAAAAAGTGGTGAATCTATACCAATGCTGTGTAGACATAACTTGTAGAGGTTTTTGGCATTTTTTTGCAATTCTTTTGCATGATTAGAAATTTTACAACTAAAAGGTTCAGGTGGAGAAGCATCTATT